ATCTTATGCTCCTTTCAATTTTTCGTTGCTTTTTTAATATAATAAAAGCTAAAACAGCGAAACTTTTGTAAACTTTAGTAGACTTTATTCAGTATTTAAATTTATCAGAGATTCCAAATTTATTCATTTGTAAGTTTTGTCACATTAGTAAACAGCTAATTCGAATATAGTTTTGCGTATGTTTAAAAAAACGAAATCCAATCAGACTCTGTGACACATTGAAAATCAGAATTCACCCAAGAAAGAGAAGTAATATAAGAAAAAATAAACAAATACAAAAGAAATAGTTAACTTACTAAGTAGTGCAAGCGTTTTATAAAACCCACTGAATCTAGTAACTACATAGAACCCACAAAGGCAACAATTAATAGTGATGAAAAAGCGGCGTTCACTTGTTAGCGAGCGACAAAAGAATACTCGCTTAAATAGAAAATAACTGAATGCAATTTTCAACTAGTGTTGACAGATTGGTTTTGAAAAAAATGTCTACAATCATTAACGAACGAAATGAATCATATGTCAGAGAGCTGAATTTGGAATTTTATCATAGTAGGCATTCTTTTGCCACTCGCTTATAATTGAAACTAGCATATAATAAAATATTGCAAAAAAAAAAAAAACGAAAACAATCTCCGCAACAGAATGTTTCAGGTTACTACTAAAACTAACTGAGAACACCGAACAGGAATTTTTATATTGGTACAAGTGTATTTTTAAGAAGCGGTATAATCAAACTAAAGAACCTATTAAAAACCAACGCTAATAATAAAACTTAATATTATTTTATATAAATACAATTTATTACTATTATGATTATAATCATTAATATTATCATTGATATTATTGATATTTTTTTTAAAGCGCTTAGCAACCCTTTAGCTAAGCAACAACTAACCGATACAAATCCACAGAGAGCATTTACCAACATCTAGGTGAACCAATTGCTTAGAATAAAAGTAAAATTAGTACATTAAAGAGCAACCTTAATTAATTTATGAACAAATTGCAACTATGGTATAATAGCAACCACAAAACTAATTTGGAACTTTAGATATGTATAGGTACATATAAATATATATATAAAAAATTTTAGCAGGCTCGAGAAAAGTAAAGGAATACTTAGTTGACTTATCTACCACTAACTAACCAACAAACTAACTAACTAACTAATTGAATAATACTAAAATATATATCGATACTATTTACGAGTATTTGCCGCAGACACGGGAAGCATACAAATTTACACCTTTTTATACTAATTTTTGAGTGGTTTTCGTTTTTAATACAACAGCAAACATACTTAAATACATACATATATATATGCATATATTTGATATATAAAAGAAGCTAGAATCGTGTTCGGTGTGTTAGGCAAATTCAAAGCAATTACAAATGTGTTAGCTAAACTATAAAAAAATGTAAGTAAAATGATAAAAAAGCAACAACTACAAATAAAGATAACGAAATAGGAAAGGATTTTTAATTTTTACAATTTTAGATACACCCATGAAACAACAACAAAAAAGTAACAACAACCATAAAGTAGATAATTGTGAAAGTAACTCATAATGAATTGAACGTACGTTAAAGTTGACAATTTGCTAAACAATAAACAACAACAATTGGAAATAATTAATAAAAAAATAAATTGAAATAAAAGTACTATAAAAGAAAGTATTGTAATAATAATAATATTGCATATGTAGTCGTGATTAATTTTTTTGTGTATGTATGTAGTTACAAGTATTATAAAAGTATGAAAAAAAAAAATAAAATAAAAAAAATAGAAAAAAACTTGAGTATGCAATTTTTACAAAACAACAAACGAAAAACAAAAGCTTAGAAAAAACTTCCCATAAATGAAACTGAAAAGCTGAGAAAAAACAAGAAAAAAAAAATAACAGAGAGAAAGAGGGCGTATAGTTGTATGGGCTAATAAATCTAAATAACACAAGTAACGTTAACCTATAATAGATAATAATAATAATAATAGAGTTATGAAAAGTAATAAAAACTCCACTAAAACACAATTGATATAGAAAAGAACAAAAAAAATAAATAAAAACAATAACAAAAAAATAAAAACAATAATAAATACATAAATAGCAAACTTAGGAACAACTAAATAATCAACTACTAAAAATATGTTTGTATGTCTGTACAGAAATAAATCACTAGATTTTAGCAAATGGGCAAGACAAGTAATGCGCCAACAAAAGAAAGAAGAAGAAAGCAACAACATGTAATAGTAATATTAATCGATGCATTAATATATAAACATATATATATATATACATAAATATACTAATAACTAAAAGTATGCATTATCGAATTGGAGTATATATGAAGAGTGAATAATATATATATATATATATATATATATATATAATTGATTACATACAAATATAAATTTAAAAGAATAAAACTTATTTAAAAAATGTGTTAAATCTCGTATATGTTATTGTTGTTTTCATAGTTAAAGCCATAAAACCAGAATAGACACGGACTTATATTCAGTTGAAGAGTGTCAACACGGTACGCCTACGCTTAATCCAATTTTCCATACATTTGTAAAAGCCTTTGGTTATTTACGGGCATTCGCTAGATTGTTGGACAGTTTCAAAGTCTTCATGCGTTTGATGAATGTAGGGTCACAAGAATCACTTTTGCGACCTCTACTCGACGTCGTTTTTGCAAAAGGTTCAGGTCTTCTGATAAGAGTCTAGTATTGACATGCTTCGTACCCAAAACATTAACCAAACTGTGTTGAGACCATCCAAATGAGATGTTGAGATCCTCTACTATATCTCTCAATCCAACGCGACAATTTTCAAGCTCGCTTTCTTTACCTTATTCGTTGTTATCGTCATCGTATGAGGCAAGTTTTCGATGACCTTACGACCTTTCCGAATGCTTTATGCTACTCAAATATAATATTAATGTTAATGATAAAGTAAATTCTCCAAAACTGTTCTCCAACATTTTCCATGATTCCATAGCCGTGATTCAATTGGAAACACAAAATTTCAATCAAACTCGATCAGTTTGGTTTCATCACAGAAACATAAAAACAAAGTTGTACCAGAAAAAGACAAAAAAAGCACCAGTCCGAGTCAAATTTGATCAGCTAAATACTATCAATGCGGCAGTATTCTTCATATTTAAATACCAATGTTAAAAACAAGTATAGCTCTGCATTATACGGGGTCCGATAAGTAGTAAGCCTATTTATTTCGCAAGATTGCCCTCAGCCTGCTGCTCCGAGTTTGTTAACCCTTACGAAAAATACGTTGTTTGGTAGTCTACAAAGGAAGTCTCCAATACGGCATCCTCAGTTGACTCAAATATCTGCCCTGTGAATGACTCTTTCAACTTTAGAAACTAGAAAAAAGTCACAGGGACCGAAATCTGGTCGTCTAATTTGACCAAAATGGCGTTGCGATGGCGGCGGTGAGTGCCGGTACGTTGTCATGGTTGAAGAGCACTTTTTTCCTCGCCAAATGGGGTCGTTTAGCATCGAATCGGCCTAATAATTCGGTATAGTAAAGCCCCCTCTTCAGATAGTCAATTTATGTATATATACTCTAATGAGCGTTGAATTATCGGCTGCTAATATAATTGCATGTACAACCCTGTCTTCTAAATACTAAATTAGAACTATTACTATGTGGCTCTGTTGTTGTTGTAGCGGCAGAAAATATGCATGAAGTAATTTGGAAGAATGCTACCGAGTTGACAGGCCGTGCCCGATAAAAGTCGGCTTCCGTTATAGTTACATAGACCTGCCTCCCTTGGGAACAGCTATGTGTCGCTCGGTTATAACCACTGTTTCGAATATACTCAACGAAGAAGAGAGCAGTGCTTGCTGGGAGTAGGGTAACAGTTATGTATTAGCGCTTTGTTCTTGTAGCTGCTCGATGGCGAATTTTCAAGTGTGTTAAGCTCTTTTATTATTACCAATGTAGAAGGCGTCGGAAGGCCAACAAGAGGACAGTTTGACCAAATTCTTTATACCGAGTCTATTTGTCTATACTACTTAACCACAAGATGCCTTTATATTAGGCGCCTTTTAATGCACTGCACTCCCCGCAAATGCGATGACACGACAATTGGAAATCCGGTGCTCACCTTAGTAACTGCTACAAGCATATACTTGTAAATATGTATGAATATATGTATTAAATTACAATAACTACAAATTCATATATGCCCATCCAAGTACTTCGGAGTCGCGCGACTGGCTGGCACTCCACTGCCATAAGTGTGGCTGTGCAACATTTGTGCAGCTTCCTTCCGTGATTGCGGTAACATAGTAACTACATGCCGATACACATACACATATACTTCTGCACAATTGGCGTTGTCTTCTTATTTTGCTCTTTTTGTCTATTTCCCACTCACTGACAATTTGCAAGAATCGCACAAGCATACATACGTACTCAACCACAAGCGGCGTCACACTCGCAATCGCAATTCCCGAACCATGGGAGCTTGCAATGACCGGTCTCACGTTGAAAACCATTAAAATGAGGAAAACGATGTATGGGAGCTGCCGCCGTTGGGGCAGCGGCGCACACTTTAAGTTGTGGCAATAAAAAATAAAAATTCAATAAAAACCGTGTTTAAATGTGGAGTCGAAAGAGGGCAGACGAATGTCCGAAGAAAAAAATCAAACGTAAACCACAACTAAAGCAAAGCGACGTGACGCGACACGGCACCGAACCGCATGTCAATGCATGGTAAGGCGAGCACGGTTGAAAAGTGCGTCACCCGGTATTGGCAGAGCGTAGTCGGGTTAGCACGCGCAGACACATCAAATGGTTTGAGAACGGGGAGCTTTTTGCATTTGGGCACTTAACAACAACAAGGCAAGCAACCACAGCAAATTCCGGCTTAGGAAGGAAATTACTAAAGGGGCGAAAATAGAGGTTTAAGGTCCTCCAGAAATGCACGCGGTAGTACAATGCGAGAATAATTCGATTAAATTCGATTCGATTTCGCGTAAACAGTAATTTATATAAGTAAACAAGCACAACTTTGAGTCTTAGCTAGGTGTGCCCCTAGTCGGAAAAAAAGAAAAATAGATTCGATTGAATTTAAGAAATCGATCTCTCGATAACTTCTACCTTTGAAAATAAATTTACAATCACTATCTCAAATAGCAGCCTTCTAAAGTGTAGCCGCAAAGTTTATTCAGCATCATCACTATACCTTTAAACGGAGTTTTCTCTAAACTACATTATTTGAATTTGCTTCGACTTGGAGAAAAAAGAAGGAAGACTTTTTCTTTAGCGCCGTCGAAGATCGGGTGTAACTCGGAAAATATTTAATTTATCGAAGATTATATAGAAATATACCCTTGAAATTTTAAAACTATTGGTACGGTAGTTGTTTTTCAGTTCCCAGAAATCGCATTTAGGCTGTCATACTTGGCTTAAACCCTGAAATCTGCTCCGACTGTCTGTTTAAATGTTGTATGGTGCTTTTATATAACTACAACTCGCTAGAAGAATCTAAATTGCCTCCTAGTGACGAGATCTCTGACAAATTTTATATGTAGCTGGTAATTTTTTTGGGATCCTGCATACCAATTATGTACTCGTGTCAATCGTTTCAATTATTATTTTTTTATTTGAAGTCCAGCAAACATGATGTCTTTAAAAATAAACGCCATTAGATTACAACCTATTCATAAAACCTCAAGAAAAATGGCAGAGTCTCGGATGGGAATGAGAACAAGATGGATGCTCGGCTGTCATCGAAGATGACAAGGTTGAAAATAAACGATGATCTTGTTGTTACGGTTTTCTTCACTCGCCCTTTCAACATCTCGAGAGTAGCAGACTTTCAACCTGTGGTACCTCGTAGGTGTATCGTTAGTCTCATTTGTTTATTTATTTTTTTTTTTAATTGGTGACAGCTTGAGAATAGTAGTGCGATCTTAAAGACTATGTATTCAACTGGACTCTAGAGAGTTCTAACAAGAAGGAGTAGATCTTTAAATAAAAATAGTAAAGAAGCTTATGGTAGAACACATAAAAAAAAATGTTCCTAAAAAGTTGGGGTATTTTGGAAAACGTCTGAAAAAGTATGTGGAACCTACTGTATTTTGGATTAAAGATACGGGACCACGACTTATAGCCTTATACCTCAAAGTCTTCGTAAATGAAGACTGCACGAACAGTACTATATTCAGAGAACTCGTGGTAAGGCATATATCTATTTGAATTCTTAAAAGAAAGTAATAAAAAAACCTTTCTAGTCTAGTTTGTACAATACTACTTAGTAATCGCTAATTAGAAGCCAATAATAACAACAACTACACAAATATTTAGAAGTAAACCCTCCACAAGCCATTGTTGCCGCCGAACCTGCTCATTAGTGTTCGTCAAGGTATTAAAATGCGCTCAGATAAAAATGAACAACGAAAGCAAAAGCCATAATAACAATAGCAATAACATGGACCTTAACAGCATCGTTCAGCCACTTCTGATGGCATCGCTGGAAATGGGCAAGCTTACATACCAACATGCCTACAAACAGACATACATACAAACATAAATTAATGTTTCAGTATATATGTATATATACATATGTACATATGCATGTAGATATGTATGTGTGTTTGTAGGCATGAAGTGCTGCTGTTGCCGCACAAAATGAATAGAGTGCACCACACCGTCAACTACAGGCCAAAGCAGGTCGACCCGACATGAAGGTTATAGGTATACCGAGTGTGTTGGCCGTTTAGCTTGGCGAGTTCGTGCATTGATCGCCGGGACCACACACACATAGGCACGCGTTCGCTGACAGAATAAAAATTGTTGCTTTGGCATTTAACGCGTCCGCGTGTGCGCAATACAGCGGTGGCGGTGGCACCCAGCTTTACAAGCTGACGATATGAGGACCAAACAGTACAACAGGACAGGCTGGACGGACAAACGAGCGAGCGCAGGCTTGTTGCTGCTTCGAGTGTGATTACGCGCGATTGTGGCTGTGACTGCGAACACGGTGCGGCCCGCATACACGCATGCTCATACATAACTACTCGTGTATGGGCGCTTGCGGCTGTTACACTACTCATTTGTGTGTATGAATGTATGAATGTATGTGTGTGTGTGGTGCCCAACTCACTTGTGGTAGTGGCGTCGACCACTGTGCTATCACCGAATGATTATCATGCATTTTAAAATTCTTACGAGCTTTGCGCGCACACCTTGCC